GGGGGGGGGTACAACCATTCGGGGAGGGGCAAGTTCCCGTTACGCTTGAGACACAAGACCGTGGACCAAATACACACAGGGGTGGGTGTCGGGGAGAACTTCTTCGGAGCACACAATCAACACACAACACTCCCTTGAATAGGGATTTTTTGAGGAAACATGTACCAAGCGGGAAGAAAAAACAACCAGGTGGTTTCATTGGTTACTGTTGTTACTTGCTCACTGTTGTTGAGGGGGTTCCCCTGCGCCCCCAGCTGTCGGGCGTCCGTGAGCAACGGGGACGAGAACCGGTTCAGCTCGCCGTTCGTGGGGCGGAACATGCCCAGTTTCCGCCCCTCCCCCAGGGGGAACTTGAGGGCGTCTTTCCATTTCGCGGGTTCCGCCGTCATTTCCAGGAAGCAGAGGGGGCAGCCCTGCCAAGACGGAAGAAAAGGAGGGGTTTTTTGCGTGGGGAAAACAGCATTTGGGGGGGGGGGGGGTGCGTCGCGTCATGTCCAGGAGGCAAACCGCGCAGCCCTGCCCAGACACAAGAAAAGGAGAAAAAATAAGGTGTGTTTTGAGAAGAAACAAAATATACTCCTATATACTTCGTGCACATAACAGCAGTGGCTAAGGGGGGTATATGCGATGTCCAGTAAGCAGACCGCGCACCCCTGCCAAGACGGAAGAAAAGGAGGCGTGTTTTGCGTGGGGAAAACAGCATTTAGGGGTGTGCGCGTCGCGTCATGTCCAGGAGGCAGACGGCGCAGCCCTGCCCAGACGGATGAAAATAAGTCATGTGTTGACAAAAGAAAAGAAAAAAACTTGGGGTATTGACACAAGTTTAGGAGGAACGTGTGATGTCCAGGAAGCAGACGGCGCACCCCAGCCCAGACGGGAGACAAGGAGGCGTGTTTCGAGAAGAAAAACGAAACACAAGAAGGAGACCGGTTGGTGTTTCAGAGATGAGATGAAAGGAGAGGAGCAACAACCGACCAAGATCGTGAGAAAAAGTCTAAGACGGGTGCGTCCTCTTTCTGCAGCACCGTTTGCCAATTGCCTACACTACTACTGCAGAAAAAAAAAAAAAAACGAGCATGACTCGTTTTCGAGAGAAAGTGTACAGTCGAGGGGGGCTACGCATTTGTGCCAACAAAAAACAAGACATCGTCAGGAGCAACACCACCCCAAAAGAAAACACCACAGCTGTCACCGCGCACCCCACCTCTCTGGGAGAATCAAGCTGGTTGAACTCAACGCTGAGGAAGGGCGGGTCTTTCCTAGAGTTGACCGACAGCCGGATCTGCAGGGCTGCCAGAGCGATCCTCTTCATGATTGCCCGCCGGAAGTCGCCGAGGGAGGTGATGGGCTCGATAGGTCGCTTGGCGAACACGTGCAGAGAGAAGGCCTGAACCAGAGGATCGGTCGTTCGGGGGGGGGGGGGGGGGGGGGGGGGGAACCCCGGGAAAAATTTTTGGGGAAAAAAGGGGGGGAAAATTTATGGGGGTTTTTGCCCCCCCTTGGGAAACCGGGATATTTTTCAAAAAAAAAAAAGGGGGGGGGGGGGGGGGGGGGGGGGGGGGGCAAAAAAAACGGGGGGGTTTTTTTTTTTTTGGGGAAAAAATTAAAAATTTTGGCCCCCCCTTCGGAAAAAGGGAAGGCTTTCCGGGAAAAATTTGGTTTAAAAATTCGGAGGGAACCCTTTTTTAGGGGGCCCAAACCCTTGGGGGGGGAAAATTTTGGGAGGAAAAAAAAAAATTTTTGGGGGTTGGGGGAAACCCCCAAAAAGTTTTTTGGCTTGAAACCCCCCGGGATGGGGTTCCCCCCCACCAATTTTCAATTTAAGCCCAAAGAAAAAATTTCCCCCCCCAAAGCCCCCCGATAAACCCGGGGGGAAAATTTTTTTTGGCCC